ACCAATAAACCATCTTTCCAAGCAGCCTCCATGTCTCCAGTGTCTTTTTCCCCACTTGGAGCCGAACCCAGAAGGACATTTCTTTCAACAATACCAAATCGAGTGGGGGAAATCAATACATTTAGCGCTCCCAAGTGCCTTTAACTTCCTGTTCTTTGAATCCAGTTCGCTCCTAAATCAGCTTCAATTGATAAGGAAATAATCAAGCTAAAGAAAGGCGGGATCCAATCTAGGTGTTGGCAGGAATCCACTGCAAAGCACCTTAGCTCTCCTCATCCTAATAGGTGGTAATATTAGCCCACACCTATTTTTTTTAAAAGTCTGCTATCTCCATTCATAGACAAAATATGCCTTGCCGTCATCCCCTCTCTTTTTGGCATATGGGGCTGTCTGGCACCATCTATACAGGAGCTTGTCAGCCAAGCAGACTTTCAGAGAAAAGGAGACGAACTATATAGTGAGTCTTATTATTATTAGAAATCTTCAGAGAGGCTTGTTGCGAAATATTTTCATTTCTTGGCTCTGCTATGTATTGCAAAGTACAGCTATTCATTTTGCGGCTTCAGTACTTCAAAGAGTTGCAAGCTCTGAAAAACCATGAGGAATGTATTACCTGGCCTGCTAACATACACAAGACAGGCAAGGCATCTCATTTCACCTATTTATAAGTTTTGCTCAAATTGCTGCTTTAACTACGAATAAATAATTGCCTACATTCCCTAAACCATAGCCGTTTAATCCATAAATGTAATGGGATGTGAGAATAACCTCGAGAAACGGGAGGAGGAGCCTCTATTATGAATAGGATTAGTATTCGTAATGGTTTTTCCAAGCTTGGTCTACCTCAAAGGGCAGACAATAAATCACTGGTTAGATTTGTACAACACAATAAGCTGTAAAACATGATTTATTAACCACAATAGTCTGCTTCATGCAAGACACCAAGATAAAGCCATACAAGTTAATTTATGGCTTATTGCAATCATTAAATCCAGCCACTCCCCAGAAGGGTTTACTTCAAAATCACAAGTATCTCAAAACTACGAGAGGAAGTGTGGTCTAGCGGTTAAGGTAACCAGGCTAATAAGTGCGAGACCATGAGTTCAAGTCCCGCTTTAGCCATGAACGTCAGCTGGGTCACTTTGGACCAGTCACTGTTTCTCAGCCCAACCCATCTCACACGGTGGTTGTTGTGGGGAAAATAGGAGGAAGAAAATGTGTTGGATGTGTTTGCCACCTTGTAAAAATGCAGGATATAAATAAACTACAACACACTCGGTTTGGAAAACTGCATTACACACGCAAACCAATTTCACAATAAGCTTAACTTTCTTTCCCACATAGTGGGGGGAAAAAAGAAAGAACAAGTGTTCTTTTCTGAATAATAAGCCACTTGATTAAAAGGTTTTAACACAGAAGTGATTCATACTCGTTGCTCACACCTTCCCGAAAGTATTTTTCATGAAAGTGGCCCAGAGGCAACTCTTCTTTTCTTTGGTGTTCTCCAGATGTGTTGGGGTTGCAATTCCAGCGCACCCAGCCTTTTGCCCTGTAGGCTAGAAATTCTGGGGAATGGATTTACATCTGGAAGGAGCAAGATAGGGAAAGCTGAACATCTGCATCGGCCATAGTACTCCATCTCTTTTGGTTGAAATAATACAGAGGATTCTGAAGAAAATATTTTTTTAAAAGCAAATAAATGATTCAAGATAGTATACGTTTNGACTTGGAAGAGGGCAACATGTGTGAGAATTGAAAGTGTTCTGGCTTGAAAGGCAAGTTGAGCCGCTGCCTTGACATGACAAACTTGACATTTCATTGTTGTGTGTCTAAGGACTATTTTCTTCAAACATTGCGCAGTCAAGCACAAGTGTTAGGAGGAAGAGGTTTAATCTCAGCTCCTCCATACTATACTGCCCACTTTCATGTTTTTACATGTGGCGTGCATATTTTTTACATATGGCGTGCATATTTTTACACGTGGCATGCATGTAAACTTTAAGATTGCAGGTAGATAGTCAAACATAAAGGGGAATGTAAAAAAATATTTTGGTGAGAAAGTATATGTAATCCTAATCTACTGCTCTTTCATAATTTGTGTTTTAAAAATAGTCACAGAGATATTATAAAATTAAAGGTTTACCTTTCCACCTGATAGATAACCTAGTGCTTTCTTGAAAGAATAGAATAGTCTCATTTCTAACAAGCATGCAAATATAAAGGATTATAATCCCAAACATCTGGGGCTGCTGATTTATTATCCTGGTACAGAATTCTCATGCCATATTATCCTTTCTTTTCTAATTCTGCCTTTTCCGGTCAGTATGACCACTGCAATCTAATTTTCTGAATTAATTCATTCCTAAATACAATAATTTTTTTTTTCACCCTTTCAGGAAGCCAAGAAAAATCAAGTAGGGTTTGTACTTTTATGGCATCTCATTACCGATGCTTCTTTTGTCTACCATACACACAATATCTTGTCTTTTATTCCCAATTCGTTCCTAAGCAAGTATACTATCTCTTTTAAGCAGTTTTGGGAGAAAGGAACAGCCTATCTTTGCAGAAGTCATTCTGTTGCAGGGTTACAATTTTCCAATCCTTTAATGCGCTTTCAACAAAGTTGAATTCTTACCATAATGCCCAATGTGACTATTAGTATTATATGGAAAACAATTAATCAAATGTTCCATTTTGGACAGCATGGATCCTCTCCCACTATTTTGGATTCATTTTTAAGATTATTATTTGTTTGCTTCATTTAAGTTTCTTAGAGCCCAGGTACTCATCCATCACACCACCTAAATACACCATTGCCCCCAAGAACAAACACTATGCTTCTTTCTCTCTCCAAAATAACTTCCAGACTTTGATAATCCTTTAGAAATGCTCTTTTAGTTCTTGAAACCTGATTTTCTCCAATGCTCTGCTGAAACCCAGAACCTGCCAAGGTTTTGTGTGCTTCCTGAAGAAGGGTGATTTATGTCTCAGAGGGCTAAAGTAAGGAATATTTTGTTTTGAGGAAACCCCAAACCTTCCAATTTTGCCTTTTCTTTCCTCTGATCTTACTTCAAACAACTGTTCTTACTGTTGTTTTCCTGACTATAATTTCTGTACATCCTCTTACTACTCCAGGGGGCTTTTTAAATTTAACTTTGCATGTTTAAAACTTGTAAAATATAATTTGACGCTGTCCTATATTAACAGTGACCTCAAGACTGGACTACTGCAATGCGCTCTACATGGGGCAGCCTTTGAAGAGTATTCGGAGACTTCAGCTGGTCCAGAATGCGGCCGTGCGAGCGATTGTGGGTGCACCTCGGTACACCCACGTTACACCTATCCTCCGCGAGCTGCACTGGCTACCGATCGGTCTCCGGATACGCTTCAAGGTGCTAGTCATTACTCAGGGACGTGCAATCACTAGAGGCAAGGGAGGCAGAGCCTCACCAGTC